CTCCTACCGGTACAGTTTGCTCACACTTGCGTGGCCATATATCGGTAAATTAACGTTAGCGTGCATTGCGAGCTGCACGGTAAATGTCCACGATAGTGTTGTCGAAAGAGTTTTCAACATCCACCTTTTATGTAGTAAGTATGTCACGAGTGTTGAGAGCATTCAGTTGTAGAGTCAGCCTTCAAATCGAGTTATCGTTCACGACAACCAAGTGAGGAAGGAACGGAGGATAAAGAGCACGTAGAAATGCAAAGTGTATCAAAACTGACATATTTTGGATGTCTAGTCTGCCGCCCTATTGCAGGCTAACGTTATGCGCTTTCCTGCAGTATTGTTGAAAATGAAGTTAACTTATCACAACACATCGAGCTCGATGTACTACCGTTGCGACCACGAACACGCCAAAAAGCTTGCGATTTCGCCATGATTAGGGTCTGGGCAGTGCGTCTATATAAATCTCAATTCGGAGTCAAGCCGTCCATGACATGGTTTCTATAGTTTGGTTTCACAATGTCAATTGCAAGCTGGGCAGATTAATAGCGTAAAACTGTGCTGTGGATGTTTAGTTAGTATGTACTCTCTGCCAAATTATCAGTACTGTAAACCCAGAGTATTTACAGAGCACACTACTAAATTCATACCGACCTGTCATTTCAACGACATACATACCGGTATATATACTGTACTTCACCACATCACGTTACTGAAACAAGTTCCATCAGTCACATGGCATTTCTATCTCCAAATTGTCGTGGCTGGATGGAGTTTGACCACCTTTGTGGTTTTTCACATTATAGCCAATAGAAATGCTTAGCTTACAGCCTGACGGGCGTCGTGCAAATTCGATTTATATCACGTCAAATTCAAATATCTTGATATTTGTATTTAGTGGTTCATAGTTTCTCGATGGAAACGGAATTTGCCCGACGCACGAAACCTTATAACCGGATGCTGGTCGTGTAAAAACCGTATTATGTTTGTCAAATGTCATCATACAAGTAACTTCAATATAACTTCCGTATAACATCAATATAACATCAACTTAACTTCAATTTAACTCTCAATTTACTGTTAACTTCAATCAAACTTCATTAACAAGGTGAAATAGGCAATTTGTAAAATGTATGAAACTAAGCCAATCACTGATCCCTTAATCGGAAAAGCACCAATCACAGAACAAACCTCTGAATATGTATACTCGTAGCCATACAACACCGAAGGCTAAAATAATATCATCAACAATTGGCACACCACTTTATAGAGGTATAGCATATATGAAGAGCTGTATACAGCTCAATTCTGCGAAATACATTGCACGTTGATAATTGGTGGATTGCCCTGAAATTGTCTACAATTTAGGGCACTTCATGATTCAAAAAGGATGCCTCAATCAGGAATTATGGCCATTCTCTGAAAAGCAAAAAAAGTTGTATTGCAACAATTGGCATTCTACGTTACCCTTAAGGCGACACAACTCAATCCATTGGCAATGGCGAAGACGAAAAATTTGAACGGCTCGGCCGCAACGTTGCCGTCGCGACCAGTGGCGCGTACACGGGCCAGGCAGTGGCTTCCTTTGACCCTGTCTTCGGGGCATTCGACGATTACCTCTACCACACGTACCAGAATCCCGTTTTGACCATCGAAGTGGCTGGTTCTGATTTCGTTGCCCCCGTGTCGACCATCCGTACCTGCGGCAAGGAATTCTTTAAAGCGGTGACTTAATTTGCCGCGGAAGTCCAGAATTTTAACGTCAACAATTCAGCCTGTTAAAGCAGTTGCGGCATCAACTTCTCACAACCTACCTACCCCCGTAGTAACCCTAATTCCATCCTCCTTGAATAAAAAATTTCAAAATCCTCATCCCCAACTTTTCCCAGCCATTCGATATGCTAACGACTATGCATTCATCCTCTCGAGTACACGCAATCCTCGCCATTAACATCGATCCTAAACAGCTAGACAGAACTGCTCTTTCACCCCTCTAAACGAGTCGGCGTTCGCGTAAGGGTGGAGAATTACACTGAATCCAAGTATTTCATCATTACGAAGGGTGGGTCTGGATGCCACCAAAAGTGGCATAAAATGACGGTTTGTCCAAGAAAAGCATTGCGCTTTTCAATATTTCTGCCAGTGATTTTCACAGCTTTAACGATTGAACGCATTATATAAAGCAAGGTTGCACTTGCTCTAAGACGAAGGCTCTGTCATTGGGCGAAATAAACGACGTTATTTTAGTAATTATAGGTACTATGGACAAATACATGGAAGGGCGGCCACCACTGCACTCGGCAGTAGCGGGCAGTGGAGTACAGCGAATATAACCGTGCCCATCATCCGGTTACTAACCGGATGACTAGTCGACACCTCTTCAGTCCAAGGTGTCCCTTCAGTCCAAGGTGTCTCTTCGCAGCCCAAGATGTCCTCTTGCACAACCAAGGTGTTCCCCCGACGATACATCAATGGTTGGTTGCGCGTAGCTTAGTGATAGCGTAGTAGTCTTAACGCTATCAATTCATTCTTTATTCTACCATCTTCTGCGTATTCCTCTGCGCACGCTCACACCTGGTAGCACTCCACGTTCGTCCAGTCGACCAACATTATGTCCACCACCAACAC